TGCAGCATGTGCTGCTGCTGCTGCTGCTGCAGCTTGTGCTGCTGCTTCTGCTGCTGCAGCATGTGCTGCTGCTGTTGCTACTGCTGCAGCAACACCAGAACCGACCCTTTCGTTTCGGTTCTAACAGCAGCAGCTGCTGCAGCTCCAACAGCAGCAGCAGCAGCAGCTCCAGCAGCAGCAGCAGCCCCAGCAGCAGCAGCAGCAGCAGCAGCAGCAGCAGCAGCAGCAGCAGAAATGTTTATAACATTCCTCTGCTTTTAGCTAGCTGCCACTGCACTCTCTCTCTGGCCGTCATCTTGCGCTGCAGCAGCCGCCCCTTCAAATAAGGGGGAGGATACATTGCTGCTGCTGCTGCTGCTGCTGCTGCTGCTGCTGCTGCATCTCCTACATACCCTGCTGCTGCTGCTGCTTGTGTTGCTGCTGGTAGCGTTGTTGCTGACACCAACGCCCCTGTGCTGCTGCTGCTGCTGCTGCTGCTGCCTAGCCATCGCCGCTGCTGCTGCATCTGCTGCTGCTGCAGCATCTGCTGCTGCTGCAGCTGAAGCATCTGCTGCTGCTGCTGCTGCTGCAGCATCTGCTGCTGCTGCTGCTGCGCCAAACGCTCCACCGCCTCAAGGTCTCCGTAGGAGGGGACAGGGCGAGAGACACCAGGAGGAGACAGCGGCTGCTGCTGCAGCTGCTGCTGCTGCATCTGCTGCTGCAGCTGCTGCTGCTGCATCTGCTGCTGCATCTGCTGCTGCGGTAGTTGCTGCTGCTGCTGCGGCAGCTGCAGCTGCTGCTGCTGCAGCCAAGGCCCAAATCCTGATGAGTTGCTATAGCTACCCATCAGATGCTGCTGCTGCAGGGCGCTTGAGCTGCTGCTGCTGCTGCTGTTGCTGCTGCTGCTGCTGACAGGAGGCCTGGTTGCTGCAGCACCAGCAGGCGCAGCAGCAGCAGCAGCAGCAGCTGCTGCTGCTGCTGCTGCATTCTCAGCAGCTTGCCGTCGAGCTGCTCTCCTCCTCGCCTTCTGAAAGGCAGCAACAGGAGCAGGCTGCTTAAACCCTCCTGACCCTGCTGCTGCTGCTGCTGCTGCTGCTGCTGCTGCTGC